TGAAAACTGCAGGTTACATTTTAACTTCGAGAATTGAAGGAACCTCAGTTTTGCATGTGATACTATAAATTCAACAACCCTTTGGTTAATGGTTTGTCATCATGGTTGTAGGTACACACATCCAATCGACAAAAAGGAGTGTCCAGTCGTTATAGGGGGTGATTACATTACTACGGAATCAGGAACAGGGCTGGTCCACACTGCCCCTGGTCATGGTCAGGAGGATTATGCAACTGGCCTGAAGTATGGGCTGCCTATTGTCGCTCCGGTGGATGATGAAGGAATCTTCACTGAAGAAGCTGGACAGTTTAGAGGGCTCTCTGTCCTTGGGGAAGGGAATAGTGCTGTTGTCAATTACCTGAATGAAAATATGTCTCTCGTCATGGAAGAATCTTATTGTGAGTTTGCTTTAGATGCTTCATGTCCTGGTTTTGAGCAAACATTTGCCACCCACTCTATTTCAGATGAAAAGAGTCTTATCTTGATTTCCTTTTTTTTATGCAGCTCATAAATACCCATATGATTGGCGAACTAAGAAACCAACGATATTTAGAGCGACTGAGCAGTGGTTTGCTTCGGTTGAAGGGTTCCGCAAGGCCACTATGGATGCAATCAACAATGTAAAATGGATACCACATCAGGTACCTATTTAACTACATAGTAAGTATATAGGTTGAATTTTTCATTTCTTTTTTAGGTCGAAAGTAGCATGTGTGGATGTTAGTTGTGGAAGAAGACTTGCAGCATATGAACCACATGATTTGATCCATCTTGCTGCTGGATTTCCTCATTGTTGGGATGGTTTCTAACTGCTTCTTCTCCTCTTGACTTAGCTTTATGCCTTATATTTTTCTCTAAGAGCTGTATGTTATATTGTTTGGAGTTAACTGGTACCTAATATGTTTTGGCAATTATCATACAGGCAGTTAACAGAATATCTGCCATGACCTCCAGTCGATCTGATTGGTGCATCTCGAGACAAAGGACATGGGGTGTCCCTATTCCTGTCTTTTATCATGTCAGGACAAAAGAACCCCTCATGAATGAAGAGACAATTGACCATGTTAAGTGTAAGGGTTTATAAGAGAGTATGGTCTCTGTCTGGGTTGTTGTTTAGAGGCCTTGTTTTCTGCTATTCCTGCTCAATGTAGTTGCTATAGTTTCTGTGATCTTATTTGAATACTTTGTCCGGCAGCAATTATTTCCCAAAAGGGTAGTGATGCATGGTGGTATATGTCAGTGGAAGACCTACTTCCTGAGAAATATCGTGATAAAGCAGCTGACTATGAAAAGGGAACTGATACAATGGATGTCTGGTTTGACTCAGGTTCTCTAATAAAAGAATGTTAATTAGAATCAAATAGTTTTACATGGTGTCAATCAACAATTCTATCATCACTTTCATTCTCCTTTGTATGGCAGGTTCCTCTTGGGCCGGTGTTTTGGGGAAACGCGAAGATCTTAGTTTCCCTGCAGATGTTTATCTAGAAGGTACAGATCAGCATCGTGGATGGTTCCAGAGTTCTTTGTTAACAAGCATCGCTACAAAAGGTGATAAGTGCACACTAAGATTACTGCCTGCCTTTATAAATCAAGATTACTATACAGATTTTAGCTTTCTTGGTGTAAGTTGACTTTCCATTTTTTCCTCACATTTTGTATTGTTGTATATAGGAAAGGCTCCCTATGCTGCTGTTATAACACATGGTTTTGTACTGGATGAGAAGGGTATGAAAATGAGCAAGTCTTTGGGGAATGTGGTTGACCCACGTATGGTCATTGGAGGTGGGAAAAATTCAAAGGTTCGTCACTCGTATAGCAACCATGGCCATTGTGTAAACAAATCTTTATCATCCATCTAATCTGTTTCTTGACAAGGGTTTCTCTTCTTATGCCAGGACGCACCTGCTTATGGAGCTGATGTTATGCGTCTCTGGGTTTCTAGTGTAGATTACACAGGGGATGTACTGATAGGCCCACAGATTCTTCGGCAAATGTCTGATATATATAGGAAGTTGAGAGGAACGTTAAGATATCTCTTGGGAAATCTTCATGACTGGAGAGTATGTCTCTAAGTCTAAGCTTTATATAGAGTAGTGTTTTTCACCTCTTGCCCCGACTTGTCAAGTTTTATTGCTTCTGTTTTATAATTTGGTGTCGGCCACAATCTTTTAATATTTAAGTTGTGGTGGTTTGTAGGTTGATAATGCTGTTCCATACCAGGATTTGCCCATCATTGATCAGCATGCTCTCTTCCAGCTTGAGAATGTTGTAAAGAACATAAAAGAATGTTATGAGAACTACCAGTTCTTTAAAATATTCCAGGTACCACGCGTCACCATTTTATTTTGGTACAGTTGAGCTGATCAGTACAAAGTAGTCTCTTTAGATGTGTCACAATTTAGGACCAGGCCAATTTATTTTATATGTTTAAATTTGATATCGCAGAGCGGCAACAGCAACTAAAAACTGGATAAACTAATAAATGATCTACTTCATTGACATGTGTTTTCCTTTGTTAAACTAATAAATGAACATAACTATAATACCAGTACAAGACGTAGTTATTTATTAGAAGAAGCTCTAATATATCTAAGAACTGTAATTCAGATTTTAGCAATTGGATCTTATCCATTGAAGTGAGAGCGAAATTGATGAATCTCGACAGCTGAGCCTCTGGAGGCTGAATTTTATTTCCGTGTTAGTAATAAGCTTTCTTTATTTCAGATCATACAACGATTCACAATTGTTGATCTGTCAAATTTCTACTTCGATGTTGCTAAGGATAGACTGTATACTGGGTAAGACTTCGCTTACCAATCTGTTACCAATCTGATGCA